TGTGACAAGAGGCGTGAGAGATACACCCGGGGGGTGTGTGTGTGTGTGTGTGTGTGTGTGTGTGTGTGTGAGAACAGGAGCTGTGTGAGGCATGAGGCATAGGGATACCATGGTGAACACAAACAGAAGTGTTTCTGTTTTAGTGGTGCTTATGTGTCAGTGATACACTAATCGCAGCAGTGATATTCTCAGAATTATAGAGAAGGAATACAACTGTGTGAGGATTTATAAGGAAGGCTGATCCCAACAGTGATCTAGGACTTTCCTATAGATGTGCTGTCTGAGTTGAGCTGTGAAGGGTCAGTGGTAATTAGCTAGACAAGAGGGAATGAGGGATAGGAGGGGAAACATCGCAGAGAGAAAAATGTGCCAAGTGATGGATAGAGGAGCCCCATGTGGCTGAAGCCCAGTGAGAAGGGCCAGCAGTTCCAGATGGATCTTGAGAGGCTGGTTGGAGTGAGCAGCTGCAGGGCCTTGGCGAGCACATTTATGAGTTGGTCCATTAGTCCAAGGGCAATGGAAAGCTGGCAGTATGCAAAAGAGAGAGGCTGTGGAGGGACAGCATCAACTCTTGCCTTCGGAAGAGGTTACCCTGGCTGTAGTGTACAGACTAGAACAGAGAAAGGCCAGAGGGGATGTGGGGAGACCAGATAGCAGAGAACTGTGGAAGACTAATTGAAGGTGGTAGCTCAGACCAGTGATGTCCAATCTTCTTGTCACCAGGGACCAAGATAATCTTTCACATCAATGAAGAGATATGAAAGATATCCAGGGGAAAATATCATGAGGGCTTGGTGACTGCCTGGCTGCTGGGATGAGGGAAGGGTCAAGGAAGAATCTTAGTCTACAATGGGAGAGGTCCTCATTGAGGTTAGATGGTGGGTCATGGTTTGGTCTTGCACAAGTTGAACTGGAGGTGTCTGGAGTGACATTAAGAAGCAATGTCATTCTGCTAGCTGGACAAATGGGTCTAGCTAGGAGAGGAAGTTGAGATCAAGAGCATATAGCTGGTATTTAAAGTTGGGGAAATGGACTAGTGTGTAGATAGTAGTTAGGATAGGGGACACTGGAGAACAGACCCTGCACTTTGAGGAACTCCGATATTAAGGAGCCTGAGAGAGGAGGATGGGCTAGAATGGCTGCAGAAGAGCAGAAGACTGGGGCGGTGGCAGAGCCAAGGGAAGATGCTGTTTCAAGAGTGACTGGAGCAGCAGAGACTGAGTAAGATGAGGCCTGGAAATGTCTGATGAGTGGGTTTCTTTTTAGTATGGAAATGAGGATAAAAGTCAGACTACAGTGGGCTAAGGAGTGAGAAAGTGATTGTGGTACTTCTTTAAAAAGTTTGCTTGTCAAAGGACATGAGGGTTGGAAACTAGAGTGTGAAGTCAAGGGTGTTTATTCTCTTTTAAAAACATGTTTGTTTGTTTGTTTGTTTATCTGACAGAGGGTATGTGCATTCGCCAGAGAAAGGGAGAGAGAGAAGGAAAGGGAGAAAGCAACTCCCCAATGCAGGGTGGTCACACTGCAAACCCTTCTCTCTTCCATTCTCCATTATGTCAGGACTCTGGGCATGCATGCACATACCAGGCATGTTTTCTGAGCTGTGGTGCTGGGCTTTGAACCATGTGGTAGGCCTTGTGGGTGAGGCTCCCTTAACTATCATGCCACAGGGCTAGCCCTCCCTTTCTTTTGTGATAGGAAACTTGAACATATTTAAAAGCCAGGAGAAAGAGTGAATTGAGATGGAACAGATGATTATACAGGAGAGTGGGTATCTCTAATGGATAAGCATAGGGATTAATTTTTTTTTTTTTTAAATTTGCCAGTAGGCATGTACACTCAACAGAGACAAACAGAAAGTGAGAAAGTATCCCCTCCACTGGGGATGGTCACACCACAATCCCTTCCCCTCCATTTCTCCCTCCTTTTGAGATTGGGTAGTGTGTGTGCGTGCATACACACACACATACACACACACTCAAACTGTTTTTCAAACTGCCAGGTCTGAGACTTTAACTATGCAGTTGGCCATGTGGGATTCAGATGCCTAACCTCTATGCCATTGGCTAGCCCAGTTTAGGGTTCATGACAAATGCAAGGGATGGGATTCAAAGCACAGAGAGTGGTGGCTTGGACTGGAGAAGGAAGGAAGATAAAATGGTTAAAGATGTAGCTAAGACTTTGCAATTTTTTTAGCTGGAGATTGAGGAGATTCCTATGTGATAACTTTATGTTTCTCTATAAAGTGACAGTACAAGACTGGTATGGGAGATTAAAACAGAGAAAAGTGGGAGCTTATGATTTTTTCTCTCTTTTTTTTGAGAAGTTTTGGTTACAAGGCATGTGCGCTTGCTAGGAAGACAGAGAGACAGAGAGACAGAAAGCGAGAAATCACCCCCTGCAGGGATGGCCATGCCACGATCCTTTCTTCTCTCAGGATCTTGGGCATACACGCACATGTGCCTGGCGTGAGTTTAAGCCACCAGGTCCAGGACTCGAGCAGCAGTTGACTACATGGGAGTCCAGTGACACAGCCATTATGCCAACTGCTAGTCCCAGATGCTTATGATTTATAACCCCCATAGGCCCTCAGCAAATTGTAGTAAACCTGCTCTTATTTGTTCAATGGGGGTATTACCTGATGAAAAGAGAAATAAAATGAGGCCTGAGGGTTTAAAAGATTGGCAAAGATGAGAGTGTAGAGGGGTCATCAGGTCCATGAAGGCAGGGACTTGTCACACTGACCACTGCATCACTCGATGACTAAGGTATCAGCACCTAGGTACTTACTATCAAAATGACCAGCACAGTGATGATCATTTGTCTCCATCTCAATTTGCCTCTTTTGGTGCGTCTCTAGAAAATAAAAAAGAAAGAATGGAAACAGCTTGAATTCCTACATGAATCCTTTCCGACTCTTGAAAGACTCTGAATTCTTCATTCTAGTCAGTTTTGAAGTTCTTGCCACAGTTTTGTTCCAGAGACACTGCTGTATTTATGACTAAGAAAGCTAAGGAGTACCATTCCATTTTTAGCTTAACAGTATGGTACTTAAATAGTCTTATTGGCCTGGTTTAAAAGTCGCCATTCTCAAAATATGTACTAAAAGTATTATATTTTTATTTACAGAAAATATGAAACTCATATAATCCTTTTAAAACTTATTCATATGAAAGTGTAGAGAAAGGAAAAACACAAGACTGGCTATGATCAAGTGTAAGGGGATAAGCAAGGAAGCCAGTTAGGAGGTTACTGAAATATCTAGACACATACCATAGTGGACAGGATAGGGTGGTGGCAGTGGAGAGTGGGAGAAATGGTGGAAATGTGAATCTATTCTGGGCACATTTTGAAGGATGTGTTGACAAGCTGAATGTGGGGAATGAGAAAACAGAGTCAAGGAGGACACCAAGGCTTGGGAAAAAGCAGAGTGGCGTTCCAGTCACTGGGCTGGGTTAAGAACTCAGGAGGAGCAGGTTTGAGGGATTACTGGGAGTTCATCCTGGTCTGCTGTGTTTGAGATGCCTCAGACATCTGAGGAAGAATACATGGAGACACATGTACCAGGGCTGGAGAAAGTGCCCCACTATGTGCAGCTCAAAGGCATTTGGATGGGTTTTGATCCATGACTGGGCAAATTCATCTAGGGAGTACATGTAGATAGAAACAAGGTTCAAGGTCACGTTTAGTCGAGAAAAAATGGTCTGGGAAACGTTAATTGTTGGCATAAATGTGGCAACAAATGTTAGCTCTAAGAGGAAACTGGACAGAGCCATGAGGTAAAAAGGACAGGGTACAAATAGAAGACGTTTCCTTTTTTTGGGGGGGGGGCGGAGGGGGAGTGGTTTTTGCTACAGTGCTCACTAGAAAGAGACAGACAGAAAGTGAGAAATCACCCCCCAGGGGGGATGGCCATGCCGCAATTCCTTCTCCTCCATTCTCCTCTCAGGATCTTGGGCACGCACGCACATGCGCCAGGAGTGAGTTCAAGCCATCGGTCAGGACTCAAACAGCAGTTGATGTGAGTCCAGTGACATAGTCATTACGCCAACTGCTGGTCCCTAGCCTAAAGATGCAGATTCCCACGGAGTGGGGATCCGAAACGTCAGTGCTTAGCTTAGAAGGAAACATCAAACCAAACTAAACCAGAACAAGTAGGTAGATGCAAAATCCAAGGTATACTATTCAGACGTAAAAGAAGAAAACTGGGGAAGGTCTCAAGGAGAGGGTGAAATCGGCCACCGTCTGCCCTAGTGCTTGGCCTTGCCCCCTGCAGTCCAGGCTCCCCGGGGACCCGTCTCTTAAAGACCTCGAGCGGCCCAGGCCATCGGCCGCGGGGCTCCGGGCCCGGCAGGACCTCGGGTGTGTGTGGTTTCGGGCGCTCTCAGTACGGAGCCCAGAGGCTGCTCCTCACCCGGCTGCGCTCTGCAGGAGGGCGC